AGAGAGAGAGAGAGAGCGAGAGAGAGAGAGAGAGAGAGAGCAAAGAGATTAACTGTTGAGCCCCTGTTGTGACAATAATTTTAGTTCAAAGAAGGTACATCTTTTACAGACAATCCCAGGCCTTCCACAATGAAGTTAGGAGGATAAAAGACACTATGTTTAATGTGCATATGAACTTGTGTTTGTGTTTTGGCGACTGCCACTTTTATGGTTTATGGCCAGGAGATAGCAATGGATTTTGTGGCCCTTTATATCAGTATTATCTTATTTCTGTCCTGGGTAACAGTCAATGCACACTGGACAGGTCCATAAGTGCTCAGTTCTCGCAAGCACCAAAGTGGGCAAGGTATCCATGACAGTATTACGAGCATTTATCAATTAAGACAGTGTTTTGACCCCTTCCCATCCAATGACAGTAAATACATGTTCTATTTATATATCTAACGTAACATAATCTCTCTCCCCTCCCCCCCCAAGATGAAGTCACAATAATAACACAATACAAGAACTCATACTGTATACACAACAGGAATCAAAACAATCAGACAAGTTACCTGAAACAAGTAAGGTAGATTCTTGATCAAGAATAGTAATGCACAATTAAAGTACAACATAAAGAATTGATATCTAGATCTACCTTATTTAAAAAGCGGCAATTCTTTGTTATTAAGGGTGAAAGACAACATCTTGCACACCTGTATAACTAGCAGTCTATGAGATGCCAACTTACCTGCTCTGTCAGTGTAAACTCAGCAATTTGAGAATTAGGGGCTGCTGACTTCCAGTCTGATTGTGTATCCTTGTCTACATCTAGAATATAGATCTAGACCTAATCCTGTGAAATCCGTGTAATAAATAATATTATATAGATCTAGACTAGATCTATAAGTTCACGGTCAAGCAAATTTGCCAAGCATGGAATGTTTCGTTAAATTAAAAAAAATTGGGCCAGGGCCTTTTAGTCTTTAGACTTCGATGTCTTGCCAGACTAGTCAAGGCAAAGAGAGATCTAATCTAGAATTCTAGAATCTAGATTCTAGTCTAGATTATAAAGTCCACAGAGAATAGAAATGAATCATCCCAGTTGACGAGATTCTAATCCCCCTGACAGTCAGTTACAGCGTCACAACTGAACATCTTGAACCGAAGTCCATGAGATACCTTCACCCAAAAACTGAGGGCGACAAAGACTGGCTAAATCCGAGTCCGTGGCCTACAAATTATTGTTGTCACTGCAACACGCGTAATTCAAGATTGTGATTTTTCTTTCACAGCGCTGAAAAAACGACGCTAGCCTACGCACAGTTGCCTACATGTACCGGAATCCAACAACCACAGGGCTTTGGGGGCAGGTATCTCAGAGAAAGCCCATAGTACGATGTGACATCCCCGGCCCACTCCTTCAGCAGGTAATCTAACCTGGCTCAGCACAGGTAGAAAGATACTCCGCTAGATCCAGTTCCGCAAACGACACCTGATGAAAAACATGAAAGTAAGCTCCGTCACGACATGACATCGAATGTGAGTGACCGAATCACACTATCAACATAATTATTCACAAAGGCCGTTGGAGGCAGTTTCTGTTCTCACATCCAGCTGACCATTCAACGGGAAGGAAGAAGGAAGGAAGGAGTCCCATTTGTTCACATGCACACACACACAACATGAGAGAAGCCGCGGCGAAAAACCGAATTGGGTCCTCCCCCCTCAGCGTTAGTCGCTGTGTTTACGTTTGTGCGCTCTCTGATCGAGAAGGGGCGAAGGGTCTTACGAGAGTCACCCGAGTCACGTCCACGGGAAACCACCCAAATATAAAAATGAGTTCCAAAGAGAATACGAGTTACTTTTCTTGTTAGTAGAAGCAGAGAGTATTTAATTATATTTTAGTGTCTCTGGTAGAAGTAGAATCCACAATATCCCACCAGACATAAAAATAACGACTTGTGTAGTGTACTCTATTTTCTTACTTTGACAGTGGGTTGTTGGCGAGTGCTCTGGTGTGGTTTGCTCCTTTCATTTCAAACGTCTATCGTCCTTATCTCTCCTCCATCTTTTCATTGTATGTTACTTTCTAGTAACACTATCTCTAATCTGCGGCACTTTTGTGACCTAATTAGTAATTGTGTCATTGTATTGTAAGTGCGGTAAATCTCTAACTAAAGCAAATTAGATCTACAGAAAATTACTATGACGTATTGTTAAGTTATTTTGGGCGAAGGTGTGGGTAACCAAGGTTTAGTTAAATGATTTTAGACTCTAATTCTGTTAATTTTTCTTCGTATCCCAACATTTGTAGTCTAAATTTATCGTATTATAACGTCTTTTTTCAAACCGGCACCTGGACATGGGGTGTAAACAATAATTATTAAAAACAACAAACTTTTCATGTTTAATTCATGTACTTCAGTATCATTTGTGATACATGTACTGATACTTCATAATCACAATGCTGTTAAGTTTCACTAGAATCTACCCCAAAAAGAGTAACAAAGAAACAGATGAAAAAAATAGCCTAGAAATAGAACATCATCATACATGCAATAAAGAAATGTCTTTTTTCATCAAGAAGTCATACCGATCTCTCCTGCCCCCCCCCCCTCCTTTCTCCTCGACGAACAGCAAAAATTATTCAAATTATAGGCCTATCTTAAACAGAAAACCCACCTCTGCCAGAGAAAATTTGGACCAAAATATTATCTCTGGACTCAAGTCCAACGGACAGTGCAAACGAAGAAAAGGTAGCAAAATCTACAACTATGTCAAATAAAGGGATCCAAGTAAGCACCCCTGGGTTCGAAGCTCAAGTATCAACTGCCTCCTCCCCCCCCTCCCCAGCTCTTGTTTAATGACTAGCAGATCATGAAATGAACGCAAGAAAATGACAATCATCCAGCCTTGTATCGTCTTTCAACACACCCACAAGCGTTTTTACACATCAGTGCATTTACCATCCTTTCTACCAAATCACATAGCAGTCTCTCATTTAGGCCTAACTGCCTACCAATAAAATATCTGCGTTTGTAGCGGGCCACGATTTTTTGGCATTAATTTTTGGTCCGCGAATTTTGAATTTAAAGAACAAAAAGAAAAAAAAAAACACCGCCGGGGAATAACAAATGGATAAACAAACAAACACAAACACACAAAACGGGGAATAAATAATAATATGCAAAAAAAAAAGGGAAAGAAACCGAACCTCTTTAGATGTTACTTTTAGAAAGACAGTTTATTTTCACTTCCACTTCACTTCGCCTCTTTCTAACTTGTTCATACCACGTTGATTTGTTATTTTCATGTGAAGAATAATATACAGTGGAAACCATACATATATAATATATTATATATAACAGGCCAGGTGCATAAAAAAAGTAAATCAAAGAATGTTTCTTTTAAGGAAATTAAGAAGTTTCCGTGTTGACAATAAGATTATGTCCCTTTTTTTACCATTCTAAACTAGTCAACAAAAGTTAAGGAACGTACTGTAAAAAGAGTGATATATTTGTATGTATTCTTTCGAGGTTTTACTTTTACTCGAAAAACTAGATATTGGTGAAATGTTACTCTATGACTAATGGGATTGTACACACCAGGGTTTGAAGTGCGCGTGACTCCTTGTGCGATGAGCTGGGGAGGGGGCAAAAAGGTCCAATGTTTTCCAATTATC